CAGCAATTTTAGTACGTTTGCAAACGTTTCCCACTTATTTATCTTGGGTGAGTCTCGGGTGCGCACAGCGTCCGAAATTAAATCTATGATGCTCGGTAGAGTCTCATTTCCTACTGAAGTCCTACCGTTTTCGTCCCAGCTTATAAGTTTTTTGGCTTCGTTTGTAGTAAGCTGATCAAACAAAAAGGCTGCCGAATCTCGAAATTTACTGGGAGTGATGGATAGCAATTTTTGTTTCAATGTGACGTCGAGTGTTGAGGGACTCAAATCTGGTATATGCAATTCCATGGGTCTCTTTCTTTCGTTTACAAAATATAAGTACTTTTGCAGAGCTTGTTCGTATAATTTCCATTTTTCGCTATCTTCCGCTTTTTGTTTTAGTATGTGTTGCATTTCTTTGTCTAGGTCATTCATAACCACCTCAGCTGTGCGCTCCACTGGATTTTTTTCGTGTAATTTTGTAACAGTTTCGTGGGGAACCAAAACCAACTTTTTACAGTGTTCCATGTTGTTCTAAGAGCCAAAAATAAGGTTTCCAAGTGCTGGAGCCAGAACGCTCAAAAGCAACGGTAAGAATGCACCACCTTTTTGAGTGAGGGCCTTTTTCTTCTTTATCCACGACTCTCCGCGTTTGGCTAGCTTTTTGAGGACTGTTTTGTGTTTCTTAAGTTTTTGTTTTTGTGAGGGTGTAAGTGGTACGTTTCCTGATAGAGTGTTGTCACAAAGTTCACAAATAGAGTACACAAGTGCTTTGTCGGCTTCCTTTAGAATAGCTTTCCGAACTGAAGGCTTTGCACGCTGGAGCACACGAAGTAAGTCCCTGTGTTCCTGTCTTTTGGTCCGTGACATTGTCTCAGCTAAGGCGTGTTGTGACCTGTTCGGTCCATCCTCGAACAATGACTACTTTTGAAAAACGAGTGACTTTTTATACTTTCCATTTGGAATGTACACAACTGTGTTTTCTCCCGGGAAAATGTGTGTTCTCAGACGAAGGTGGTCTTTTTGCCTGACATGAAAATCGAATAAAATGTATGAGTGGCCTTCTTGTGTGGCGTCCAAATATGCTTCCAGCATTCCTCTCCAATGAGTTGGGTCAACTTGTAGTGCCAGAGTTCTTATTTGTTGGATATCACGTGGAGATTTTAACAAAATCACATAGTGTGCTTGTAAACTTATTTGTCTAAAGTTAGGGGGAAACAACGCTTGTGTTAGAAACCAAAAGCTTAAATTACGATGATGTGACCCTTTTATTGCTATTTTCAAAAATTCTGGGTTTTTTATTTGGTCCAAAAAATCGTCAACAATGACCAATTTTGGCTTTTCCCCGGTAGGAAAATGATCCATCGACGGAGCTCCCTCAATGAATTCTACCCCGTGTTGCTGAGCGAGCTCATCATAGACACTTTGGTACTCACTGTAGTACCACAATATTTTTTCGAAGGAGACATTGAACATGTGCTCTCGATTCTCTACTACTCGTTTTACCAAGTATGTCTTACCCCCACCACTAGGAGCACACACCAAAACATTGGAAGGGTGAGAAAAGCGTAAATCCATGTTGTGTGTAGAGTGTTTATCGGAGGAATGATTAACGTGTACCATTTTACATAGTTTTTATAGGAAAGTTTTGCTAGTCATGTGTTGTGTCACATAAGTCTTCTAAAACAGACAATATTTCGTAATCGTCATCGTCTAATAAAATATCTTTGTATCCGTATGGTGCAGTCTTCTCCTTGTCAATGCGTCGACGTTTGTTCAAGCACACTTGCCATTTCTTTGAAGATGGACGAGTCACAATTCGCCAGCCCGGTAAGCGTGCAATTTGTATTGGTATGTGTACATGGGTCATTTTTTTCTCGTCACTCAGCACCATATCTTTAAGAGCATCAAATGTTACAGTGTCCTCACAAGAACTATTGATTGAAATGCCTCTCACTTTGATGACTGTCTTTATGTTTTCAGGGTCACCACCTACACAAACTCTAAAAGCATAATTCTTCGCACCAGCCGAGACAAACTCACAGCAGTAGGATCCTTCACCATAATCTTCAGATAGTTGATCCGTCATCTGACCAAGATATTGTCCTAGTTCTGGCTCGGGCTGACCCGGAACGGACAGAAAGCACACGGAATCTGCAACACGAAGAAACAAGTTAGTCATCTTCTTTTATCATTTAAATCACGGATGTCCCTTACCTGTATCATTGTAAATGCATCTTTCGTCGACGACTTCTAAATATTTGTAAAGCAATTCCCTTCCCCCTGCGGTTGTTTGAGCAGCGTGAATGAGTGACGTGGTTTTCAAACTCTCATCCATGTCTTCCACCGGAACGAAACAGATCTGCAGGCAGTCTTCTCCAAGAGGAAGGATAGAATTGATGACGATGGTAGAGTCATTGACAAGGCGAATCAATTCGCCGTAATCAAACACAAACACTGTCTTTGGTCTCAATGTTTTTTCACCCATCTTTCCCCCTAAAAAAAATAAACACGCAGATGAGACAAACTCTTTTAAAATGATTTGTTCAGATTTTTTAACAGTGCATACTTACAAAAAGAATTAAGGATAAGTTTAGCCAAAGTTCTCTTTCCGGGATTTTTCTCAACTTTATCTTTTCTCACGACAATGCCATCGCGATCGAAGATGTCTTTGACATATTTTTCTTTGTCCTCGTCTGTTTTGACGTGTGCAGGCCAACCCGAAGCTTCGTATTTCAGTGCCATGTTCTCTCTGACGTGCCCAGAAAATAGTCCACCCGTCTTTGTAACTGGATCATATTTTTCTACTTCGGGGTAATCGAATAATTCATGGATTCTTAAAATTCTGTAACCTTTGTTCACTGCTAATTGAAGTTCATTTGTACACCATGTACCCGTTAGTGCCCTGTCTATGGTTTCAGTGTGTGTACATGTGTCTTGGTTTTGTGTTTCAGCGCATGTTTTGCAAAGTGGAAACATAAGTTTTGAGCAACATCTGTACGGTAAAACTGGCAAAAATAACGTTTCAGGTGGTAAAACTGTGACTTTAGCCACTCCGTTCCATTTATCAATGGGTGGCATGTGTGGGTCATCTTCTAAATATATTTTCGGATGATTTTTGACGTAACCGAATGTG